GCGGGTGACATTATTTCGGCAGTTAATCTCGCGATGGAGCTAACGAAAACCCTAGTCGCCTTCTCGTTACTGCCCGTCGGTTCGAGAAACAAGATCTGGCAGCAATTAGAAGGTAGCTAGGGTTTTCGTCAGCTGAATCCAGAAATCGACTGCTTTACGCTTCATATCTTTCAGAGACCCTAATGAACCGGTGGAATCCACGACTCGAGCCTTACACTTCCCACGCTGGAAAAACCCTAAATCGCCCGACGAGGAAACTGTGAGAGAGGGTCAGCTAGGAGTGGCAATTTTGGTTATTAACAGAATAATCGAGCCGAACCGAATCGAATAAGACATAACTTTATCTGAACCGAATCCGACATCAAAACCGAATGGTTATGATTTCTTTAAACCCGAAAAAATCGAAACTCCAAACCGAATTAATAAAATAACCGAAAAATCCGACAATTTCTTTGAAAAAATGAACTTTTTCCCGAAACGAATCGAACATGAACCGAATCAAATTTTATATAAAAACCGGGTTATAGTTTTTCTATAATCGAAATAACCGAACCGAATCCGACTTGAAATCGGAAATGGTCACCCGCCACAATCTAACGGGTCCGGTTTTTATAAGGAGGAAACTTGTACAGCAAGTAACTCAATTCTAACTAAACGTGATTTCGTTTTATTTTATTTTGTTTTATTTTGGGATTAAATTAAGTAACTCAAAGATAAAACCAAAAAATATCTAATTAATTTTAAAGTCAACTCAATTTCATTTTCCTTTTTTTTTGAGGATTAAAGTAACTAACAGAAGCCAAAACAAAACAAAAATACCTAAATTAATTTTTTTTATAAAGATAATATCAAATCAATTTAAAAAAAAAAAAGGTAGTAGCAAATCTAAAACGTGTTTACATACAGTATATATAGTACGGACTAGAACAGAACTGAAGTGATCACCATTCACCTTGGACTCCTAGGCTTGGAGATCTGTTTCACCGGACATCAATGGAGAGAGAAGAGATGAGTCACGAGAAGAGTGTCACTATAACAGCATCTGATGTTTCCGCCTTGAGAAACAGAGTCGCCGTCGCCATGCACAAGGGAGAAGCTCCGTCCTCCGCCGCCATGGACATCGATCATCTCCTCCGGCGTTGGTTTTCAGAGCTGGTTCGGAGGGAAGAAGGAAACAATTCTACAGACAACGTCCCTCCGAAAACCCAACAGATCAGACAGAAGAACGATCCGAAGAAGGTAACCGACAACAATCCCGTCTGATAATTTCCGCCATTAGGTTTTGTGTTTTCAGACTCTTTTCTTTACAAATTTCAGGAAGAAGACGAACCCCCTCGTTTATCGATAGAGAAAGAACATCAAGATCCTCGCACTGAGATTCAGAAGAAGAGAGAAGCCTTCCGGCTGTCGCT